AAATGAACTATATATAAAATGAACTTCATTATTTTAGAATAGTTTAAAACAGTTTTTTATTAGTATTGAAATTGGAGCTGAGAACCATGAAGTTTTACTGGCATGAAATCGTGACAGAATGAGGAAGAACTATTAAGCTAAGCAAACTTTAGTTGGTTACGGTTTTCATGCATTACCATCGCAACTTAAAGCATTCATATAGAATGCTAATAACAAATGGCCATTCAGTACAAATACGTATTTCTATTTTTCAATACAGAAAATAATGTCATAATAATAACAATAATTCATTTTAAAAGCACACATTTAGTAAAGAAAACTGCCAAAATGTAATTCTATGTAAACAGGCACAGGTCACTTCCAAAACAACAAAAATGAAAACATATTCTCATATTTTAATTTTAGTGGCTTAATCAGAGAAATATTACATTTATTCCTCACATATATTTCCAAAATGTTGCTATTCAATGTGAAAAGCAGAGAATGGCATCGCTAGCAACACAGAGATCATGGGTTCGATTCCCAGGGAATGCAAGAAGAAAAATAAAGCGTAACTTTAATGTAATGCAAGTCACTTCGGATAAAAGCATCGGTCAAATTCACAGATGATTTCACGGAGGTAAAAGAGTCTTATGTAGAATCAGTCATCAGTGATGGTCAGACAATCATTCTTATAAATCAAAATGAAAAAAATTCAAAGAAAGTCCAGACAGCTGGCGTTTCATTTACCAGCCGAAGCCAATTTATACTCACGTTTGGCGCTTGGCGAGTGTGTGAACATATGTTTGTGCTGGTGTGCGTGTCTGCACTAAATGAATCCTGCTGCGTATCTGTGCATTGGCTGATATTTTTATCCAAATCCAGAGCGTATAAACACATAAGACTCTTTCAAACATAACTCTCCATCCTAATTCTGTATTAGCGGCGCAGCAGACGGTGCTGGAAAGTGCATATTTGGCCTAATTAGCAGCGGTTCGGTCAGAAGGAGCTGCAAACGGCACGAATAACACAGATGGTAGATTGATGTGGGGCTCAGTGAATGAACACAGGTCACGCTGACACCCAACACGTCCTCCTGAACCCTCGCTTTCACTTTAATAAAACACTCAGAAGAAATCAGAAGAGCCACAAACTTTGGTGCAACTTTTTATGAATGTAAGGTCGTCCATCCATTTATATTGGTACCATACTGAATTAAAAAAAACACAAAAAAAAACAATAATACTTTAAAAAAAGTTAATTTTTTTATTATTTATTATTACTTCTTTTATTATTCATTTTTATTTTATTGTGACAAGTCACTTATACAGAAGTCACAATATACTGCATTTACAAAAATAAAGAAAAAAGTTTTTTATTCTTATTTAAATTTTTTAATTAATTACTTTTTTAAAAAGCCGACATATAGCAAAAAGTCAAATTTTATTAATGTAACATTGTCCATCCATTCATGTAATTTATTTAATACTATACTAAATGTTAAATAATAAATCAAATAAAAAACGGACAATAACAAAAACCCTTTTTATTAATAAAATATATTTATTTTTTATTTTATTTATTTATTTTAAAAAAGCCAACATATGGCTTAAAAAAAAAATCATCTAATTTTCACTATAATAAAATGCTGTTTAAAACTCAGAAGAGTCACAGACATATATTTGTCATTTACATTAGTACTACACTAAATTATACTAAATACTAAAATAAAAATGTAATTAAATTATTTTATAAACTGTTTTTTAAAAAGCCAACATATAGTAAAAATGCTATTAATGTAATATTGTCCATTCATGCATGTTATTTATTTTACTACATTTTAAATAATAAAATAAAAAAGTAAAAACCTTTTTAATAGAATGTTTATATTTTGATTAATTTATTAAAAAAAATACCAACATATGGTAAAAAATAAAATGCTATACTTAATTTAAAAATAATAATAAAATGAAAGTTTTTGTTAATGTTTATTGCTGTTGTTGTTATTATTTAAAAAAATGTATTAAATAATTTAAAAAGGTAACATATGGTAAACAGCAACACTAAATAAGAAATAAACTGAAATAGTTTTTTCTTATCATTAATTATTATTAATACTATAATTATTATTATTATTTAAAAAAAAAATTGTAATTAATTGTAAAAAAGTTAACATATGGTACAAAGCCAAAAACTGTTTTACTTTCACTATAGTAAAATGCTGTTTACACCAATTTTGGTGCAACGCTCGGCCTGTTGCTGCAAACGTCATGCAAACAGTGATCGCTGCACTTGGTCAGAAACAGCCAGATGAAAGAAAAATTGTAATTAATTGTAAAAAAGTTAACATATGGTACAAAGCCAAAAACTGTTTTACTTTCACTATAGTAAAATGCTGTTTACACCAATTTTGGTGCAACGCTCGGCCTGTTGCTGCAAACGTCATGCAAACAGTGATCGCTGCACTTGGTCAGAAACAGCCAGATGAAAGAGTTTGAACTCTGAAGAGGCCGTTATAACGCTTGACTAGCGCTCAACGTTTCCCTCCATAGAGTTCAATGCTTCAGGCATCACATGAAAGAGCCTTTAGATAAACACAATAGGCCAAAACACAAACTAATAATAAGGTAATGGCATGAGTACAGGACATTAAACAACACAGACACACAAAATGACACGAATTTCATCTGTTCTTGTTATATAGTGTATATGTGACCCTGGAGCACAAAAGCAGTCTTAAGTCGCTGGGGTATATTTGTAGCAATAGCCAACAATACATTGTATGGGTCAAAATTATCAATTTTTCTTTAATGCCAAAAATCATCAGGATATTAAGTAAAGATCATGTTCCATGAAGATATTTTGTAAATTTCCTACTGTTAATATATCAAAACTGAATTTTTGATTAGTAATATGCATTGCTAAAGACTTCATTTGGACAACTTTAAAGATGATTTTCTCAATATTTAGATTTTTTTTGCTCCCTCAGATTCTAGATTTTCAAATAGTTGCATCTCAGCCAAATATTGTCCTATCCTAACAAACCATACATCAATGGAAAGCTTGTTTATTCAGCGTTCAGATGATGTATAAATCTCAATTTCAAAAAATTGACCCATATGACTGGTTTTGTGGTCCAGGGTCACATATAGTAAGAGAGTTTGTCAGGTAAAACTCAACTACCCACTGGTTAACCAGTCTGCATGTGCTCTCTAAACTAAAACACTCTATCCAGTTTGTGCTTAACCACAACATAGAGGTAGCAGAACAACAGAAACTTCCACTTGCTGAAGCCTTTCCTTTCATTGATGTCTGTGCAGAAAAGCATGCTGGGAACGCAAAAACTCCCAGCATGCAGAGCAAACATAAACTCAGCATGTAGAGCCACAAACCAGCTTGCACATTTTCTGAAGGGGAAACTGTAATATGTACACTCAAAATTTTTTATTTTTGCTGCTTGCTCAATTTAGTTAATTAGACTAGCTATCGCAATGCATTAAAAAAAAGTGTGAGAACTTGATTTCATTTCATTGCATGCAATTAAATTAATTTTAAACAGAAGTTTACTTAATTCTTGCACTGGAACTATGTGTTCAGTTGTTGTTGGATGCAACTGGACGTACAGAAATTGATGCAAGAGCAACGATTTATTAATCTTATGTAATGTTTGTGTAAACAAAACAACAAAATCCTGACAGTACAATATTTATATTAAAATGATAAAATAAAATATTAATAACACTATCCATGTGATTTGCTTTAGTATTCTACTAAATAAAAAAAAAAAAGCATTTTTTTGTATTGTTTATTATTACTTATTTATTTTATATTATTTTCTTATGTTAGTATTTATTAAAGCCAACATATGGTAAAAAATGTAAAAAATTAAAATGTAAATGCAAAATTGTAAAAATACATTAAAAACATGTAAAAATGGTATTAAGGACCAATATAATTAACATAATTTTAAAACTAATAGCAATAAATTATCAGTTGATAATTTTAAATTATAATTTCCATCTTTCTAATTTTTGAAGTTGAAAAACACTCAATTATCTTTAACTTCGAAAAATCTTTTTTTTACAGTATTGTATCACATAAACTGCATAGAAAAGTCGAACAAAACTAAGACAAATCCGTTCAAATTAATTCTTTTTTGTTGAAAAGGCTTTTCATTATTTTTCGTTTTCTGTGCATGGAGACATTTTCCTCAATTTAAGTTTATTCAGCAACTTAATTTTTATTTATTTTATTTTTATTTTTATTTATAGCTAACATATAGCAAAATTCAGCATCTTAATATTTTCGAGTTTATGACATATCCTGCACATTAACAGTAACAATTATTTTATTTTATTTTATTAAAGCCAACATATACTGCACATTAATAGTAATATTTTATTTTATAGCCTTTTATTTTATTTTATTAAAGCCAACATATAGTGCACATTAATAGTAATATATTATTTTATAGCCTTTTATTTTATTTTAAGCCAACATATCCTGCACATTTATAGTAATTTTATTTTATTTTATTAAATCCAACATATCCTGCACATTTATAGTAATTTTATTTGATTTGATTAAATCCAACATATCCTGCACATTAATAGTAATATTTTATTTTATAGTTTTATTTTATTTTATTAAAGCCAACATATCCTGAACATTAATAGTAATAATTATTTTATTTTATTTTAAAGCCAATGTACAGTAAAATTCAGCATCTTCATTACATTAATAATAATAAAGCTCATGGTTCGTACCTCCAGAGAAGCTGACGCTCATTTCCCGAGATGCTTCTACCGCCGACCGCAAAGTACCTCCTCTTCTCTTCACACCTGTAAATAATAAATACAGACGGGTCAGAGTTCAGAGGTCACGAGGTCAGTAATCAGACTCTGTGATCGCACTTTCCGAAGGAAAAAGCAAAAGCTGAGCCAGAGCGAGTGCATGAGGATTTCTGAAGCGTTAACGTGCCAATCTGAGCGTCCGCTGGGGAATCCCAGCCTCAAATATGGGTTAATGTTTAGCAGAGACTGAAATACCATGAATGGCATCCAAACAAGAATGCAAAATCACACTGGACTTCCCCAAACACACAAACATTCATCTCTCCAGCACAGACACTTATTAATTTAGAGGGGAACGTGTGAAAATCTCCCTGTTACCGCCAACCCGTTTAAAAATTCAGCACGGCTCAAAATAAGGTGGACGAGATGCATTGCAGCAAATCAGGGAATAATTTTAGAAATGTTTCGTACGGCTCATGATGATCAGGGTTAAAGACATGGAAAATGTGGCCTGTTAAAGATTTAAGACTGAAGAGATTTATTGGATATTTGCATACTGTCCTGTAATGTTAGTGTTAAAAAATACAATTAGTAAATCTTGATAGTACAATATTTGTAAGAAAATAATAAAATATTAATGAAATAATATACATAATTCCAAAAACAAGTTAAATACTAAAAATAAAATTAAATACTAAAATTAAAAATAAAATTAAATACTAAATTTAAACAAATCTAATATTTCCAAAACAACAAAGTAACATAAAATACTAAATAAAACAAAACATTAAATAAAATAAGAAAACATTTTTTAAAACAAAGTAAAATAAAATAATAAAATATTAAAGAAATAATAAAGTAAATTACTAAAACAAAAAAGTAAAATTAAACAAAATAATACTATATTACTATAAAAATACAACAAATAAAAATATTAAATAAAATAATAAAATATTAGTAAAACAATAAAGTAAAATAAAATAATATTAGTAAAACAATAAAGTAAAATACAATAATAAATAATAGAATTTAATATTCATAAAATAAAAAATACTAAAACAATAAAGTAAAATAAAATAATAGAAAAATAATAAAGCAAAATAAAATATTAAATAAAATAATACAATAAAAATAAAATATGAAGTGTCTTAAACCACTATGTACTTATGTAAAGAAAAAATGCTAGGTACAATGTAGCTATTGTGTTCATATTAAATTGCAAAACACTTTTTCTGCAATTGAGGTGGGATAAGGTTAGACACAGGTCTGGTGGTACGATTAGGTTAAGTGCAATGTATCAAATGATTAATTTAAATATAAGTACATAGTAGTTAAAGACACTGAACATAAAGTGGGTCCCAATTAAATGTTTTAATTTCTTTGTTCTGATTTTGTTGTCACTATAATACTGAGATTTGCTCTTGACGTTATGAATCGTGTGTTTTCTCGTCACATTAACCAGCCTGTTTAATGGAGGTTCAGGTGGTTCGGATGGAAATGAAGTGGGAATATGGTGGGTGTCGGGACACTAAAGAGACAAACTAATGAACAGCTGCTCACGCCCGGATCATTAACCGTCAGACCTCAGCCGTGTGTGTGTGTGTGAGTGTGTGTGTGTGTGTGTGTGTGAGTGTGTGTTTGTCTGGTCATGAAAGAGGGGGATTCTGCATGTCAAAGAGTCCCACCTCCTCAAACACACCCGCAGGCACCCCGTCCCATCTCATTTACACCCCATTCTGGCCAATTAAAGCGTGACAGCTTAATAATAAGCTTTCCATTGATGTATGGTTTGTTAGGATAGGACAATATTTGGCCGAGAAGACTGCTTTTGTGCTCCAGGGTCACACGTTATCAGTGGAATTGTAAATGAAGATTACATTAACATTTTGTTAAATAAAAAAAAAAATAACAAAGGATCAGCTGGTGAGATACAGACTTAAAATGTGACTCTAATGAAGAAAGGTCTCGTTTCACCCCAAAATCTAAAGAAAGAAATCAGAAATTATGTTTAGGTTAAATAAAATAGAGCCTTGTTTTTTAGGACAATTATGATTTTTTGCAGTATGACATTTTTAAGCACATTATTTTTATGTGTTCAACCCAAATATTCAGATGTGTGCAGCGCATTTTATGGAGGACTTGTTTCCTGAACCTGGTAGAGTAGACTACAATGCATCTGTGCACAAAGGCTGTTTCTATAAAGTGGGGCAGTTCCAACTTTGCAAGGACAGTCTGGCGCTTCTGACTCACAACCTGTAAGTACGTTTTCATATTTAAAGAATTTGCCACTGACGATTCAAACGCGAGCTTTGAGCAGTGTAGAGTAGCACTTGTTGTTTGTCATTTCTCTGATCACAAATGCAGACATGGTTTTATGTTTACGCGGCGCGATGCAACGCAACACGTAAAAAGACAGTATAAGTCATTATAATCAGTAATTATGTCCCCAATGGATGCAACAAATGCCTCGTTTATAATGGGTTTTAATGTTTTTGTCTCGTCGCTCCGGCCGGACAGGGCATCACAGTATGGTGAGGGGCGTAACATTTTCGTCTCACGCGTGAGGTATTCAGCCAATCACAACGCACTGGATAGCTGGCCAATCACAGCACACCTCGCTTTTCAGACCGATGAGCTTTGTAAAAATCTACGCGTTTCAGAAAGGCGGGGCATAGAGGAGAAACAATAATGTACAGTATGTGGAAAATAATGTGTTTTTTTTACCTTAAACCGCATAAACACATTGAATTACACCAAATACACAACTTAATGTTCTTTTTAGCAACATCATATGACCCCTTTAAAACCTACCATGGATTAATAATTACATAACAATAAAACGCAACAGTATATGTGGACACTATAGAGTGCATGAATGTTAAAGTGGGTCAGGAGTGTTGTTGAACATTGACTAAACAGACAGCATCCACATACAGGAGTGTCAGGCATGTTTACTTAGCAAGCTAGTCCTGTTTGACCGATCTGAGTGCATTCCAAAGTTCATGCCATCCGATCGCATATTCAGCAAAATCAATAACGCAGCCCGAACATCTGAAGATATTCACCGTCGCACGACGAGAGTTAAAACACAAAATGTTATTTCATCCAAACTAAGCTGCAATCAAACCGAGGTGTTCCTCTGCCATAGAACCAGGGTTAATCAAGGTCTAGACCTAAAAGAAACCCAAACCGTCTCCGATTTAAAGTTTAGTAAATGAATTAGTCATAATTCACATGCATACTAATTCGGAGGCTCTTTGTTGAGGACAGACATACAGTCTGAAATCCATCTGAAGCCTCTGTGGGCTGTAAAGGATCCAGCGCTGCTTCGGCTCCGTTACAATCTCTCATTAATTATTGAGACGCGTCGGAACACACACACTGACAGCTTTGTGTCCTTAACATGAATAACGCAGACTCTGAAGACGGGAATGAATTCAGCCTGTTCCAGTAAACCAACGGATCACATACAACCACTGCGGAAACATAAGCAGCACAACTGTTTTCAACATTGATAATAATCAGAAATGTGTCTCGAGCAGCAAATCAGCATATTAGAATGATTTCTGAAGATCATGTGACACTGAAGACTGGAGTAATGATGCTGAAAATACAGCTTTGATCACAGAAA